CAAATATAGACCTGTTCGAGTGGAGCAGCTTCATTCTTGATTATCAGTTTAACACAGTGTATTATTCTCTGCCCGTGGTTTTCTTTCGTAACTCGGCAGGGCGTGGAGCTACAATCAAAACGGTCTGCGTGTTTTGTATATCCGTTTAGATGGCATATTGTTCTCAATGTTCGGTTGTAGACTAGGGTGATTGTGCGAGCGAAATGAGCTTCATATAGTCGCGAGAGAATAATGATGAATAAGTTTGAAAACCGCTTTTCTTGTCCATAATGTTTCCGCTGAATGCTCACATAAGGAAACCGAGCGAAACGAATGTTGAAAATTCCACAACTTCAATAGCCACAGGAGAGCTTACTATGAAAAGCGAGCGTCTTAAAAAACAAATCAGCTGATGTGACCGCGGTTTTTGTGTTGTGTTTCTTTCTAAAATACGTGTTCCATCATTTTATCTCTCGTCGGAGACAAGAGTGCTGAAGAGGACGGAAATTTCAGCGATTGATATTTTCCACAGAATGGCTGTACTGCTCCAGTTTATCTGGTCAAATCAGGATGCTCATGACTCGCTCTGCATATTTGGGTTCAAGCCAATCCAGATGGATGATCAACTTGCCTCGTAGTTGCGACTGACACGGCTGGTGCTTCTTATTGCTGAAGTTTTGACACATGCTAGCTCTTCGTGAGGCTTAAATGATGTGTGCATCCTGTTTGAGCTAGTTTTGAAGTAAGATCCATTGGTTTGAACAAGAGATCTTGCCGCTAGTCGGTTTAATCTCTTGTTAAAACTAAACCTAGTGAGTTTCTAGTTCTATGATTTTTGTTCCTTAAAAAAGGCCTCCTCCGTGGGTCAAAGCATGAGTCTGTCATAGATGCATGTGTTGATAGTCTCTGGCTCACCATTCTGTTTTGTTTGCAGTCACCATCAGATCCGACGGATAATTTTTTCCGAGTCGGCGATAAGCTGGAAGCAGTTGATCGTCACAACAGCCAGCTAATCTGTCCGGCCACAATCGGTGCGGTAAATGGACAGCATATTTTTGTCAGTTTCGACGGTTGGTCTGGAGCATTTGATTACTGGACCCGATTCGACAGCCGGGAACTGTTTCCCGTAGGCTGGTGTAAACTAGCAGACTATCCACTTCAGTCACCGGGTCCGAACGCTTTGCGATCTCCCACCAATCAGTCAACCCCTGCCCCTGCTCGACCTCTAACTTCCTCTCGACCAGATCCCTTGAACACGTCATCGGAAACTCCTAGTCTATCGGGGAGTGCGAAACGACCTATTGGTACGAAACGTCTTGAAAAAAGGAATAGGTCTCACGCGGCTAAGCGTGGAGGACGACCCAATAGTCGAAGACGTGTCAAAACGTCAGCCTTGAGGCGACAGCCCATATCGGCCATTGTGCATAAGCCAGTAGTGAAGCCCGAAGTTCCTGCCTCAGATACCGTGTGGCCTTCCGAAACAGTTAAGAGGCTTACGTCCGTATCATCTCACCCCGAACTAACGGACTCCGCCGACTCCTCGATGCGTTCCATGTCATCCCCACCCACTATCCATCCCATGAATGAAGATGCGTCGGAATCTGTCCTTAATTTAAGTGTGTCTTCCTCAGATCAACCACCAGCTATTGAAGTTGCTCTTCCCATTCAGTCCGACCCTCCCCGGGTAAGGCGCATCAGCAACTCCTCAGACTGCGTTGTCCGACTTCAGGCCAAATCACCGCCCGTTCCTTCAGATCGTGCAGACTACACAAAACCAGAACACAAGTCCTGGCAAGTGGTTCCGATAAGCCCCCAGTCGCAAAGAAAAGCCCCAAAAAGGCATCGGCACTCAGTGGACAAAGCCAGTCGGTTGCGGAAGAAATTCAAACTCGTCGGGTTAGTCTTGCTTTTATTCACAGTTCGCCTGTTCCTCCTATCCGGCTGGATTTTTCCAGGATCCTGAGGTTAAGAATTTGTCACTGTTCACTGATTGTTTAGAGTACGCCAATCCTATTTGAAACTGATTATCGGATTTCCAGTTTTGGCTTTTTATTGCAAATCACCATCACGCGTTTACCCTCCAAGTCGCCTGGAAGCATCAAAAGGTAAAAGAGAATCTTTCAGCTATATCACCCTTTCGGTGTCTAGCTATCATGCCACTCGAAAGAAGTACGAGGGCTGGGATACAGCCAAGTTACCCAAGCCTAAACAGGGGACTTCGAGGTTCTAACCACGGTCAGTAAACTCGCGCTCTAACCATTGAGTGATCGTGAAGGGTATTTTTCGGGATAACTGCAAATCTTCCGGTGCCTATATTCGATTGCTCTTTGGGTCACAGTTCACTTTGTAGTTCACCTCACCACCCCTCATTTGACGGTATCGGCCTGCACTCATGAATGGGTGCCTTTTTAGCCACGGTGACTTCCTGGAAGATTGCAAGTAAATAGTGATGTGTACGTACAAGTCACTCAATCCAAATGTCCCTTTGGAGCAGGGTTTTCCTTCGATTCACACGAAACAACACTTCTGTAGCACGTTCGGATGGCTTCAACTTAAATATTGGGTACTATCAGTTCATTTAAAATATGAAGTGGAATTTTCGCTAGTCTTGTGAAATTATTCTCCCCGTGAGCTACTTATAAGTTGTTGGTAACATGAGGATACCTGCAAGTTTCTAATTGGGATTTCCTTCCGAAAAATTGCCTTGAAGATTCTCAAATCTCTTCACACTACCAGCATTAACGTTTGCCTGGACCAGTGACGGTCGTAACCGAATTTTCATAGTTTTACACATCTCATTTACCTCTTAAGCCAGTAGGAAGGCAGCCGGGCCCTTGGTTCAAGAATGGAGAAGGCCAGCTTGCATACGCTGCCTTCTCATCGCCGAGATTAGCTAAGGTCTCTGGGGCGGGATTATTTCTTACAAAATCGGAAGAACACAGACCTTGTTCACTGATTCATTGTGGAGTATCACCTAACTGATTGATTCTAATTACTATTACTTGATACTTTAGAGTTAGTTCTGCATTCCGAATTCTCTTGATTCACTTGGTGATTAATAGTCTTAGCTTCGATAATGTTGCCCAAACATTATCTATAGAGCATCAAGATTGAAGTTGAAAAAGCGCAAACTAATCCTAATCTTTTGTTCAACTCGTCTTTGTTGTGGGTCGGATGTCGCAGTGCACGTTGAATCCCACCGGCAGTAATCTTTAGCTTTCTACTGCTGACGACTTCGCTGATTTGAACCCTTTCATTGGACTCCTTCTACATTTGTTCGTTCGCATTTTGGTCTCCATTTTTCACAGGCCAGAGCTTCTCTTTGAATGAATAGTCACACTTCCATTTTGTTTCATGAGCCTTCCTATTGATTCATCTCTTTCTCCATCGACCAGTATCAACGGACATTCGGCTTTGTCCCGCAATTAGTGCAACAGCGCACGGATTGCAGTCAGTCGTTTTAATTCCGCCCATGTGACAAGGGATGAAAAGATCTGTTATCAAGTTTTTCCTGTTTGGATCAAGGTCAATAATAATGATAATAATCTCTGCTTGGGATAGCTGTTCTCTGGGTCGAGTTATTTCACCACCCTGTTGCCCGCTTACTGAGGATCAACCGGCTTTTGGATTCCTTGTGGAATGTGTGATCTGCTTGATATCGGACAGATTTTCTACGAGCGTCGAAATGCAAGAGAGTATGCAGATGTCGTCGATAGATGGCCGCTCGTTGAATAATAATTTGGGTGATGTAGCATTCTGAAGCATGCTCAGTAGCAACTTCTCTGCTGAGTTGTAAAACCTGTCATGATAGCCCATACATCTGGTTTCGGCATAAGTGTCTTTCTGTAGCTGTCACCCATAACAACCATGCCTACCTTAATTAAACAAGTTATGATGGGGTATCAACGAATAAATCTGTTTCCTAACCTTAAGTTCTAGATCTTCGTTGATCTTATACGTAGATGTGGCCAACACTGGTAGGTTTCTCTTCTTTTCCTTGAAGCCAAATTGATTAATCGTCTTAAACCAGCCCTTTGCGATCAGAGATGTCGGACGCTTCCTTGCTTCTGCCGATTTGTCGAGTTGTTTTAAACTTATTAGTGTTATAAATTTCATTGTGTTTGGTCTCCCGTACTATTCCACATCATGTGTCGCAGAATAGTGTTCAAGGTATATTTTCGAATTGTGAATGATCGTTCATTTGATGTCACCACGTGTGAGGGTCAGTGGGAATTTAGTAGAAAACACAGGTGACCGTCGATTTCACTGAAAATCAATCGGTCAATCAACTTATCAGCTATAAAGCGTGTACAATAGGCTCACTGGTTCCAGCTGCTACAGTTCCGTTCACCGGAAAGTGGGAGAGTATGGGACATACAGCCAAGCCTTGGAGGTATTGGCATGTTTGGTTAGTTCGGGAACTGCATAGCTACGGGTTGAAGACAATAGCTTTGATGCACGAACGCCATTTGCGCGATTCGTTCATTTCTGTCAGTGTCATCAGTTGAGTCCGGGGGTCCCCATCCAGTGAGCCGGCAATAGTCGACCCGATTGAGTTTACTGTTGGTGTTTTCATACTTCGTTTCCAGGTCGTTTCCACTTTTTGGTCGCATCCAATCAGCACAGGGCTAGGTGAGAAGAGGCATGTGAGGGTGGTGGTCTTTTTGGGCGCGGAGTATGTCCTAACCAGCGTAAGCTATGAAACATTAGTAATTCATCAGTAGTGGGAGAGCTCCTTCTTCCTAGGACCATCCCTATGAAACATGAGTAATTCATCAGTATTGGGAGAGTTCCTTCTTCCTAGGACCGTCTGGCGTACCTTAGCATTACTAATGCGATGTTCCCACCAGATCCGACCAGTGCTTCGGAGACACTGAGATCTTCCGTTTGTCCTGTGCTCGTAGAGGGCACGTCTCTGATCCTTAAAGCAGTATGGATTGCACCACCGCAGTGTAAACTCTGTCCTCAATAGACAAACTCACATCACAGCGGCGTCATAGGTGTCGGAGGTTGGTAAAAGCTGCCGTGGCTTTCTCGATTCTAGAAATAATCTCATCTCCAGACAATCAGCCAGAACTTATACAACTGCCCAGGTAAACACATCTATCTACCACATCGATTAGCTCATCTGCAAGCATGAGTTTTGGTCGCACCCAGGCTTGTAGCTGCACTTTGCATGTTTGAAGTACATGCCAAACCGTACAGCATTTATTTAGGTTGTTTAAAATGGTTTGCATTTGTGAGGGCAATATCGTCCGCATACTCAGTGTGTGTGAGAGAACGTCTCGGAAGCATTTCGAATCCCGAGGTTTTGTAGGCAGACAGATTCCAAGCTACACATCAATAACGGAGTTGAAGAAGAAAAGTGAGAGAGAGGGCAACCTTATCTCGCATCACTGGACGTGGTGAACTCAGGCGAAAGTTTGCCGTATATTTATACGAGCTCACAGGATTTTCCATACTAGTGCTCTCATAAGGGATATAAATTTGAATAGGACGCCTTTGATAGCCAGAGACGACCAAAGTTTCTCACGATCGACAGGGTCAAAAGCTATCCAAGAATTTTTCTCAATGTGAAGATATGTTCGATGTCTCCTCGGCGGGGCGACATCCCACCTGATTTTCACGAATCTGTCTTTCCTGATAGTGGATAATCTTAGTCAAAATACTTGTGCTTGTAACTCAAATTCGCTACATACTTCGATCCAGTTCGTTCAGCATATTCTGCGGAGATTTGCGTGTACGTGTAGCTTGTTTGTGGGGAACCCATGTGTACGCATTGTGACTTCCGGTGACAATTGTCTTTTGGAAGCGCAGTAGTTTTTTCTTCACCGTCAATCTGCAGTGTATCTCTGAGACTGGATTAATTTTAGAGAATCTCTTCTCGAGGGGTCCACCATTCTTTGAAGGTCCATACGTGTTCAGCTAATACTCTTGAAGTAAACCGCAAGTCTATTGTGGAAATCGAAGAGGGTTGATTATACAGACAATTGAGTGTTCGCACTGGTGTCAAAAGACATTATTTATCCCGTGCTGTCCTAACTTGACAAACTACTGAGTCACTCTAACACTGACAGATTATCTTGAAGTGTAAATGTATGTAGTAGTTTCATTCCTGGGCGTTTAGAACTACGTGAAATATATCACCATATTTACTCACCGTGTGCGATTGTGTAGTAAATAGTGAACGCTATTTTTGTTATACACTGTTTCCGTGGATTTTCTCCTGTCTCCAGAACATCTGAACGTCCGACCTTTACCACACTCAAAGGAGAACTCAACAAGCACTCCACATCCAAGGAAACAATTCCTACATTACGCCAAGATGAGCATTCCAACAAGACAAAACCCGAGGTTCCCCCCAGGGATGACGCTACCTCACAACGATCCACCTCACCATCATCATTACCTTTACCAAGCCTTCAGAATTCACACTCTACTCATTTTCGATCTGATCGATCGGGACAGACTCCGCTTCACCTATACTGTGGTGATTACAACGCCACTTCGCTAGCTTCGTATGAAACCAAGCCCGTAACGTATCTGCCTCCCCAGTCTGAGTCAGCCTCTTCTGGGGAACATCTGGACGACGATGTCGCCAGCAGCGTAACTCGTTCGAACGGGGTGGCGCCATCCTATACATCTGGTCTATGGTATCCATCCTCCAGGATGGAATATAACAGTTCGAAAATGTTGGATGCGCATGCGGCTTCCTCTCACGCAACTGACGATTATTCCGACGGACAAAGTTTAGCTCCCCACGTCTCTTCTTCCACCGTGTCACCTTCTTCGTTGGGTATGTACTGCACATTGCTCAAAAGTGTATTGAACATTCGGTGGAAGTTACCAGTTTAGATTATGTTGCTATATTCCATTAGTTATCAGGTGAAAAACGTCTACCTTCGAATGAAGCGTTTGACAGAAGCCGTTTTTCGGGTTCCATTTTAGAGATAGTTAATCTTCTCCACTTTCGCGTAACCAAAACTGTCGGTCTAACTTAGAGATAGTTAATCTTCTCCACTTTCGCCTAACCAAAACTGTCAGTCTAACAGATCGGTTTACATCTTCGTTGTTAGTTGTGAACAAAGCGTATTTCACCCAGGGAGAAATTTGCGATAGGTTCTCAGTAGTTTTGAAACTACTGGTGTTGACCAACAAATCCGTATCGGTTGCCAACCGACCATATGATGCGCTGGCATAGGACTGTGAATATCATTACTGTGGGTGTTGTTTGTCTGGAACACCTCACGCGTACTTCAGCATGAGAAGGACAATGAAGTGAAGTACATGTTGAATTAATTTCTATGAAAAAATAAATCGTTCAGTTGTAGCACCCTATTGAATTAATTTCTGTGGAAAAATAAATCGTTCAGCTGTAGCGGCCTTTCGGTGCCTAACTGCCATGCCAACCGAAGTTTACACGATGGCTCGTATATTGCCAGGTTGCCCAGGCCTCGACAGGTGAGGTCGAGATGCAGAGGTCAGGTTCGGACCACGGACCTTCTGGTCAGTAAATTCGCGTTCTAACCACTTGGGCCATCTCGCCATCTATGAGAGACTGGCAAATAACGAGAGTGAAGGTGTCACGATTATACGTTATACCCAATACCGAGTGACCCATATAATTTTGCAGGTTGTGTTCCTGTTCTGTGTTAATGAGCAAGCCGAAACTTTTTTGATTACACTAATCTCGTGACTGAACACGATTTACAAACCGAATCGATCGCTCACATTCACCACAAGGCCATTACTTTGTTTCCGAAGTCGGTTGTCCGTGACCTCTTTTTGGGGTCACTTATTTACTGTATTCCTCTGGAATCTGAAAGCTCGAAGTTGCGATATTTGCATTAAAAATGAAGCTGGTCTCCACCTGCACCGACGGCTAGACTACACGATTTGCGAAAACCTACACTCAGGCAGTTCACCATTAGTGTTGTGCACATGTAGTGTGGTTGAAAGTTTCCGCATGTATGTGAACAATGATCTTCGGCTGCGGTATTGTTATGTCAGCCAACTTCTGCGTTGAAGCTACAGACCTTGAAGCGAATCAGATTCTATCCACCACCCAGATTGATCGTTTCAAAGCAGATTATTACTCACTCGTTGTGCCACCTACCTGAACTTCTCCTGTTGAGCTCATGTCACAGTTGGGCACCTGACAAACATGTGGTAAAATGTATTCACCTGCGTTGGTAAGTGTGGAATGGTACGGGTGTATTTATGTGACTTGACTGGCCCTGCTTCCGGAATGAGGCGATCAGAGTATGTCGCCTTTCGTCAATTAACCCAATTGGTACTTTTTTGTTCGGTGCCATTCTGCAAAATTTGAGGAAAAGGCGGTTCGGTAGAAGTAAGTAGTCACATCTCTTTCGCTGTAAGTACGGCAGCTTCTATAACAGAATACACTACGGCATTCACATTAATGAGGGTCGGTAATGCGGCGCTCAAGACTCACCAACCTGTTTACTAAGAGATCAACGCAGTTTGCCACCAGGTGGGTCACAAGCTAAACCAGTGGCGTATTTCGTTTAGAGTTGATGAATTAACACATCCTGAAGACTCGTTAACTACGTACTCTTTGCCTAGCGGGGCACGCGATGCAGAACAATTTGTGAATCATTGTTCTACAGCAGTCTGCCGAGAGAGTTAACATCTGATAAAGAGACATCTGGCCTGCAAAAAATACCCATCTGCAAATCAATTTGGTTTTCACGGAAGACTGAAGTGAAGCTATCGTTTATGATGTCCTTCACCTGAATGTGCTGCACACAGGCCTCATGTGTCAGTCGGTGCCTGCCTGATGAGCCCCAAGTAGGGCAAAACCGGTTGTGGGCTGCCGAAGAGTAGCTTCCTTTAAGAAATTTAGCCTCTTCGGTATTGGCTTTTCCTTGAGACAGTTGTTGCTGTAAATAGTTCGAGGAGTTCATAAACTCGGTAAAGTTCTTTCAATGAGAGATCATTGGAGAAACTAAAGTTTTTGTATTCATTGTGGTAGAGTTGCCTGTTGGTGCTCTTACAACGCATTAACTTGACCGCCTAAAACGCTCTCTCATCCACCTCCCAATTTCGGGCCTCTGAGATTCACCCTCCCATTTCCAGACCTCGGACCAGGACCGTTACCCAATCCTGCCCTGTGGACCATTGATGAAGTATATCATTACCTCACAACTCGGGACCCAAGCCTGTTGGAAGTTGCACAGAAGTTCAAGCACCATGTAAGTGCTTGTTCTTTACCCAACCTTTATTGGTCACGCACGACTGACCTTAGATCTCTTTCCCATTAACGTTAGGGACGTTTTGTTTTGATAGCCATCATTGTTTTCTGTCCGTATGGCGCCGATCCCCACCTTCTAACTTTCGAATCTTGATTTGTTGAAGAATGTCCATTTTTTGTTCCACAAAATGACCCGGCGGGATTGCTTAGACAGCGGCCTATCCCTCAGTGATGTTTCTGTGGTAATTCCAGACTACTAATAAGTAGCGCGACACGGCGCTCAATTTGTGGATAGGGTGTCTGGCGTCTTCCAGAAGCCGTAGATCTCAGTTATCGCCTGCTTTTACATCCTTCTTCTCTAGGGTTCATAATCTTCCAGTCGTGGGAGATAATGTAGTTTCTGGAACCTCCGTTTATCGGGAGGTATCGTGGAGCCCAGGGGAAAGAAGCACAATCGCCTTTCCAATGCATTCTTCTAAAACATACATTCAGTTCAAATGTCTGGAGCATCTTTTGTGCATGCTGTCATTGAACTGTGGGCTTACGACAGGTCGATCCTCTTGCTCTATTGTGCGAATTTATCTGGTTCTTCAACAGGTTCTACGCGGACCGGTTGGTGACCATTTTGAGCCCATCCAAAACAGCCTCCTGGATGTGGATATTTTGGTTGGACATCATTATGTCATTCAGTTGGGATTTTACTTTCGGTGTTCTTCTGAGAAGGAGCTCCATTTTCTGAAAAATCTCATCTACCACTGATTGAAATGACCACTTGATCCAAAGCTTTTGTTTAAGACCGTTTAAGTTAAGTTCGGGCCTTTGACCATGAACCGTGCGCAGAAAGTACCGCAGTTCAATAAACCATATAACCGCGACGATGTACCTGATACCTCTCTATTCGTCGCTGGTGTATTTTGAAATTCGCAATCAAAAGCATCCTTCGCGACACTTTGTTGGTGTTAGTTGTTGTCCGAGCGCTTATATCCCGAATTTTGTTGTGATTTAGTAATTTCAGTACTTTCAGCTTTCACTACCGCGGTTAAACCATATAACCGTGACGATGTACCTGATACCTCTCTATTCGTCGCTGGTGTATTTTGAAATTCGCAATCAAAAGCATCCTTCGCGACACTTTGTTGGTGTTAGTTGTTGTCTGAGCGCTTATATCCCGAATTTTGTTGTGATTTAGTAATTTCAGTACTTTCAGCTTTCACATATCCACCTTTCTAACAAAGTACAAGCAGACAATCCATGTGAGAGGTAACACGTACTGGACTAGTTGCACTCTGCTCTATAGGACTTGAATCAGAATTTCCCCTCCCTTCGACAGCCGCCGGTAAAACCACGGGACCTCGCCGTGCCCTTGTTTTTCCAAGCAGACGCTTTCTCTGTGTTTCGAGCCCTCTGATGATTGTGCAGAATAATCCTCCCTTTTTATCTCCACTATTTTCAGTGTTACTTCATTCCTGTTGGTTAGCACATTTGCTTTTACCTTTGTTTCTCTTACTCCTTCCTACAGGAAATCGATGGTCAGGCACTCCTGCTTCTCAATATGGAATCTTTGCGAAACTATTTACAGGTTAAATTGGGTCCGGCTCTCAAAGTGGACCATTTGATCTCACGTATCAAACGCGGTTTACTTTAATGCGCACCGGAGCAAGACTCATTTCGATTAATTACACAGACACATTCACAATAACGCTATTTTTCTACATGACTCCACCCACAACCAAACGAGATGTCTTCATTGGATTCATGCTTGTAATCACTCTCGTGCCATGTCTCATTGGCAAAACCCTCACCATTATCTACTTTTAACACCTTTAGATTGTTATTTCTTACCTTTTTTATATTGTTCACGTCACTCAGCTTCGCATCCTTTGAGCAGGAAGGAAATAGACAATTTGTGTATTTTTTTCTACCCTTACCCAAGCCATCCCGTTTGTTCCACCTGATCTCGTAGAATTCATGATTTATTTGGTCCGTTTTCTCTCACATCGTATTTTTCAGGGATATATCCCGTCCAAATGCAGTTATCCTAATCCTTGCTATCTATTTGATGCTATCCACAGTTCCCCGTTTTCAACCATGTCTTCACGCCGATTCGTCTTAACTCCTTATCTTTATATGTACTGAAACAGTAAGACTTGACATTAATACACGCTTTAAAGTCATTTTGTGACTGAAATTTCACACTTGTTTGGCGAAAACTAAGTGCCAAACAGACTACGCGGACTGGGACACAATGCCCCTCCCCCGGGGTTTCGGACGATAAGTGAGGGGGAGGTTATAAGAAGTCCTGACCCTGACGATGTCCTATACCGAACCCATCAATTTGTTCAAGTCTGCACATTTGTCTTTTAATCATAGAGGTGAATAGAAGCCAAGCGACCCAAATCATGCGAACAAGTTCAGGACGAACACCGAGCCAAACTTCAGATTGGTAGGGTTGTGTGTGAGCACTCGGGCCACTCGCACACACGCTTGTCTACATCAGCTGGAAGCTGTGAATGAAGCGACCACGACAACCCAGTCCTAGGCACGCACGCAGAAGCCCGTGGTTACCAAATGTGAACATGAGATTATGTGACGTCATCCCACACATGCACACTCTGGTGCCCGCATGCTTGTCCAGAAAGACAGGCAAACTGTTTCGGGCTTGATTTTCGCCGAACCTGACTCAAGGAGTGGACATTTTTGGAGGACAGTAAGCTCGTTGTGGTTTAAACGGTCGCTCTTCCTGTAAAGGCCATAGACAGGTTGAAGAACGTAGAATGCTTTACTCACCATAGAGACTTATCAGGCTTAGAACATAGTGACCAAGGCATGACAATTCAGCAATACGCTCATTGTGCGGTATCATACAGATGATTTAGAAGGCTATCTCATGAACGCGGACAGTCAACTTGAAACAAGTAGTGGCACAAACCCGAGCGAATCGGGGTGTCCGAGGAGCTGGAGGGATTTTGAAAGTCATAACTTGAGTGTTACAACATAACGTGCATGAGGAAAAAGCTTAACGTTGGTTGTCTGAGACACAGCAATTCAAGACCCATGATTCACCAGTGACAGTAGTATGAGGCATGACTGGGTTGGAAGAGCCCCTTGAAAGTAGGTGCTAAAAATTTGGATAGTGGTCCTGCAACACCTGAACTAAGGTCGTACGGAGGGGGGTTAGAAACAGCGGTTTTTGTAGGCTTCAGATGAGAAAGATGTACTACTTGAAGGCACCTTATGCACTGAAGTTAAGTATTCATGAGTGCAGTGGTCAGATAAAACTAGAAATTCCCAAGTACATGCGTCTGGGCTTAAGCACACCTAGGGGTTGTGGAATAATGTTTTGGATACCACGACCAAGGTGGGATTACACCGGTGAATGACCCACAGATGACTTAAGTAGTTGGGACCTCATGAAAACACGCGTCTGATCCACCGCCTACAGAATGGCCGGTCAGGAGCGCACAACCTTGGCCACGTGATATTTTTTGGTTAATGGAAACCAAAAGAACCATTCGTAGACATTCAGTGCTTCGTGTGGTTGCAGGATATTTCTGGTTATCAGTTGACGTCACATACTTCTTACGTTGAAACGAGACGTCGTCGAAACTGCCCTGGACGTACCGTTCTGCCCGGTTGGCAAAATCCCGGTTGCATGACGCATCATCAAGTAACCGCCTTCTTGCGCAAACAGAAGCAAATTTCATTAACGAAGTCACACTTGTACGTCGGGAGCTGCTGCGGGTCGTGGAAAGCGCACATTCTGACCATAAGTAAGCAGGACCATGGTGTACATAAAAGAACATCAAACGTCGTGTGAATGCACCAGGCTCCCCCAGATGGCAGTCTAGCCTGGGCACCAACGTACGCCTAGTACAACCATGCCCAGGAAATCAAGGGAAATTAGGGATATGATCTCATCCCACGGATAGTTATCAAGAGGGCCTAATGGAGTCTTGACCCGCAGATGGAATCGCTCCAGTAATTCCACTGAAAGCGCATGATGTAGTCTTACGTTCAGATCTACTGCTCAGCGCACCCATGAAGTCGAAAGCTTGGGGAAAATATAATCCCCGTTTTCAGATGACGGTAACATGGCATCCATAGCGGGCAACTTATTGCACTAGTACAGCATTAATGACAGGATTAGCGGAGCTGTCCACCAATGGGACTGCCTGTTTCCAACCCTGACACATGTTACGATGTGCTGATAATACTACTGTTTACTTCCAAGTGGTGGGTGGCATATTGTTAGCGAAGATCAGGTTACAGGCGGAATAAAAGAATGAGTGGCAGGAGTTGTGGGTACAGAAGATCGCGCAGAAAAAGGACAGTATTATAAAAATGGGCATAATCCGATGTCGACGGGGTAACCCCCAAACCGCCACAGGGAAGGAAGCACAGTAACTACTTTTTTGGCGAACATATCGAGAGGAAGCAAGATTAGGTCGTTAGAAGTTGAAGATGGCGGGCCAAAATAAAACTGGGGAGGGCAAAACAAGAGGCTCCGTGCTTGACACACAACAAGAAGAGTGTAAACGGTGGAAAATGAGGAACCAGAACATCAGATCTGTTGAATCAGCAAAGTTGGCGTCATCCAGCCGGTCTAATTGAAGAAAAACCGCTGAGGCCTTGTGGTCTTGATCTGTTGGACTTATGATCAGGGTCACAAAATGGGAATGGGATGTGTTTGGATTAGTAATACGGATAAGTAGCAGGAAGCTTGGAAGCACAGTGTACAGAGAAACTGTAGGAACTCACTGGTCTCGTTGTCATAGTGGATTCGGTTGTGGAAGCTCATTGAAAGAATGAGCCGGTGCTAACACACAACACTAACGCGAACTGTACAGAAAGTTGGTGACTTTATGGGGACCACTGGCTGAAAGCCCACTATATGGTTAGCTTTGAACGAAAGGTTTAGCGTACTAGAATGAATGCGCTCCGGAGACGGCGGGGGTTAAGGGAAGTGTATGCTCTTTTTTTCAAGTGAGGTAATGAGTGGGA